CCTACTTCTTTACTTTCTCTCCCATATTTCTGTCTGTCGGTCGGTCTGTCTGTCTTACTTTTTCCTTGCACTAAATGACCACCTTTGTGTCTATATGCCTCGCTGTACTCAAACAAACAAACACGCTCGGCAAGCTCTGTCCTAAAAGATCTGAATTGTGTCGATTGGGGCGTAAAACGTCTGGAATCGTGGGTGTTTGACAGGTGCTCTGGTGTGGTATGCTCTTTCTTACCTATCAAACATCTATCGTTCTGATCCCACACCCCCCCCCCTCCTCCCAACCCTTTCTGTTTTGTGTTTGTTACTGTCTTGAAACACCTCAAATCTATGACACGTATACTGACCTAATGTGCTACAAGTGCCGTAAAAGACTTACTAAAAACCAAACTAAATGACCATCATTGTGCCAGTGTGCATTACTTTAATACTCAAACAACAAACAAACAAAAAACAAGGTAACACCGCTAATCTTCGGCACTAATATGACCTTACTGTGTTGCAAGTGCCGTAAAACTCTTATTAAAACTAAACAAAGTATGCAAGCACTCGCTCCTAAAAGACCTAAATTGTGTCAATGGAGCCGTAAATCACCTACAATCACATGTTTATTTGTTTTTGATTGTTTTTTTCCAAACAGGTCATGAGTCTGTGCAAGGAGTACTTCCAGTCGCCCGACAGCCCCGAGGTCCCCCTGAAGCACCTGCCCACCCCGGGTGCCGTGTCCCCCTCCCCCGCGCTCACCGGCCACGCCCACTCCACCCGGAAGGACATTGTACAGCTGATCCGGGAACTGGAGGAGTCCAAGGGCTTCTTGCAGCGTCTGGCGGACAGTCTGTGCCGCGTGCCCGTGCTCTACGACCAGGAGATGCAGAGTGATACCTGCTGGAACGGCTCGGCTGTCGGGAGGTTAGGATCATACATCTGTTTGTTTGGTAGTCTGTTTGTTCATCTGTTTGTCTGTCTCTTGGCTATTTATCTGTATGTCTGTCTTTTAGCTGTTTATCTGTATGTATGTATGTCTATATTTTGGCTGTTTTGTTTGTATGTCTATCTTTTGTCTGTTTGTTTGCCTGTTGTCTTTTTGCTGTCAGTATGTTTGCCAGACTGTCTGTCTGTCTGTCTGTCTGTCTGTCTGTCTGTCTGTCTGTCTGTATGTCTGTCTGTCTGTCTGTCTGTATGTCTGTCTGTCTGTCTTTTGTCTGTTTGTCTTTCGGCTGTTTGACTATACCATGTCTGTCTTATTATTATCTGCTTGTATCTGTATGTCTGACTATCTGTCTGTATATCTGTTTGGCTGTTTTCATCTGCCTGTCTATTTGTCAGTCTGACTGTCTGGGGTTTTTTTCTCTGTCTGTCTTAGGTGGGGTTTTTTCTTCGAACAAAATCAACATTCTTATGTCGATGTGCTTCTCTTTACTCAAACTGTCGGTCTTTCATATGTGTGTATGTATGTATCTCTGTATGTCTGTGTGTGTGTGTGTGTATGTGTGTGTGTGTGTGTGTGTGTGTGT